GTACATGGATAAGTTTATATATAGATTCATAGATCGGTATGTTTTTGAGTTTATATTGAGGAAGTTACTCTATATATTAGAATCTGTCAGAGTCGAACTGGTTACCGTTCAATTTGGTGGAGCAAGAGTGGGAATTGATTCCATGTAAAAATACTTGCTAGTATTAAGTTCAGAGTTGGTGTACTACTTTGAGTACAGAATTCGGAGTTGTCCAATATCGATGGATTCTCAATATATATTTAATTCGATATTAAACCAAATATACCAACAACTGTATAATTAATGGGGTCAAGACACCGGATTGATAGCGTTGGCTTCATGCCTTAATCTTCAATCTTAACTACAACCTCGTGTCCAGCCCGATTTATCTTTTTCATTCCATTGTAAGTTCGATTAATGAGGTATTACGTTGGAGGTTCTGCACTCGTGACTAAACATGTGAGGAGCGATGACTTTCTTTTTTCTTTTCTCTTTTTCCGTTACTCGTATTCGACCTGAGATGCCTCGCCATGACCAAGGTCGAATGCGAGTAATGATTATAAAAAATAAAAATATTAAAAAAAAGAGCTGAGATTAAGGCGAGGCCCAGAACTCCCCCCTTCAAGGTTCCGCTATGCGTTTCGGGACAAGAAGCAAAAACCACGTACAACTCTATCTCCCCAACGGGACAAGAAGAAAAACCCGTCAAATGGCCAAATTACCACATCTCTGCACTGCTCCAGTCCCTATCGAAATCATATTAGAAGGCGACCTCGCAACCTCATTCTCAAACCACCTTCATACATATGAAAATATACCTCATCGTCCAAGAAGCCAAGTACCGAGCTGGTAGTCTTACAAATTCTTCTGTCTCCCCAATGCACCAACGTAGCCTATCATTCCCCGCAAACCCGTTTTGCTTTTGCCAATAACCGATGGCAGGTACTAGGAGCGAAGGCTGGATGAACCATTCTAGCTCTGAGTAAGCAATAAGCACTCCCTGAACTTATGCATGTGGATTAAGGTATATAAATTGTGAGATACTATAGTTTTGTGAACCATTCCGAGTTATTACCATTCTCGGATCGAGGGTTATTCTGCCATCAGTGTATCCGAGTGGGTGAAGAATTGTTTTGGGTTGGAGCATCAGGCTCTTGTTGCGTTTGTATATTTATAATGCCACCCAATTAGCTTGATGCGATCCCTGTTTTCTGACTAGAGAGAGGTGTGAATATAGGAATTCATTGCCGGATACTCTGCGTTTGAGGGGATTACTATAGTGACAGACTCGACTAAGCTGATGGTTGATGTTGCGCGGACTAAGTTGGAACAGAGTGGACGTATGTAGAATTAAAACAGTATCGCGAATTCGTAGGGAAAAGTGGCGGACAACTGACCATGTTACTGATATTCAGAATGTCAGATCTTGCATGGTCAAATTGTAGATGTTATTAAGGAAACCGCGAGACGAAAATCACTACCCTTATGACTAATAAACACCCTGGGAATGTTGTTTTATATGGTACTGGGGGCATAGGGAACTACAGCTCGTACTGGAGTTTATCTACCGGTATTATCCTCAGGCTTCTGGGTCTATGCTTTATTGATTAGCAAACCGAACTCTCCGACAATCTAGACTACACATATCGTTCAACTGCTGGAAATGGCAGGCAAACTCGATACAACAGGTAAACTTAAGACTCAGCACATTGAAGACAAGATGATGTCATTGGTGCCGTCAAGCAATGGTTTACGAGCAGGAGCAACAGCAAATGGATACTTGTACTTGATAATTTTGACGACGTGGAGGTATTATTCTGTGGATCTGCGAGCAGCGCTAGCTTTCTACCACCCGAATGCGTTTCTATGTCGGGAAATGACCCAAAATGTCTTCTCGATTAGAGGAACCGTAGTTAGCGAAACTGAAATCACAATGTAGGTATGTATTTATATTCAGGCGTCAGTAAAAAGTTTCCTGCAGTTTTCGTTCGATCGAGTTCCGCTGTAATCACTTCTAGAACGTTCATAGAAGAGAGTAACACGATCACGAGACACGCAGCGACGAGGGGTTCTTCAACATGTACATCTATGTACAGAGAACTCTCGATACAAGCAAGTCGTCCGGACCAGAGGAAATATGCTTGTAACCAATATATTTTTATATAGAGAGAAAATAGGTAACTATGGAATAACACTGGCTAGCGGTAGGAAAGAAGATAAACAATAATACTAGAGCATGTGAGTAATAAACTTCTTAATCAGTCAACCCCCTTGCGAAAATCTAGGCATCGGATTTTGCCATCTTTATCCAAAACTACGCTGCTTTCTCCTGTAGCAGAAATCCTGATATTGCCACACCACGGTTCTGCATTAACTGCTGCCACTGAAATAATGCTTCATCTAATTTTGCATGCTTGCTGGCTTTAATTCACTTAGAATCACGTTGTAGCTTTTGCACTTGTACTGGATCCACATTGGAAGGTCCAGAGGTCTTTTTGAATTGAGAATTTACTGGAGTTCTCTGATTCAAAACAGCGTTTGATGTGTCGCCAAGTAGTCTTAGGATTTTCTTCCGCATATGTCCTGATAGCGTGTCGCTCAAGCTCTGGCCATGCCTGGCGCTGCAGAGCTATGGAAATATTTGAGGAAGAAGCCATTATTCGTCCTGTAGCGATTCCATGTGTTGTAGCCATTCCGTATGTTGTAGCGATTCCGTATGTTGTAGCGATTCCGATTCATTTCAATTTCATTTCAATTTGATTTGATTTCATCTAATCCATGCACTTCATTTGATCACCTTTCCCACTGCATTTGGTAGCTGTTTATTTGGTGCGGTCCTTTTTTTGGCGTGGTGGGGGGGTTGGCGTAGTGGGATCAGGGTAAATAGCCCTTCTGCGCACAGGTGGTAAGTTGAGGGTAATCAGGCACTCTCAGGGCGAGCGGGCGGTCTCAGGTACAGCGGCCAATTTCAGGGTAATCTGGCAATCAGGCACTCTGAGGGGAACCCAGCAAACTGAGGGTAAGCGAGCTATCTTGTGCTAATTGAGTCATTTCAGAGTTACAGCTGGTGCAGCAGTAGCATAGAGATAGCAGGTAGCACGGCCATCATAGCAGCCGCAAAGGCAGCATATAGAGAGCAATATGTTGTAGCGATTCCATATATTGTAGTTGGTCATTTCTTATTGATATTTGTGGATATGTATGGTGACTAAGCAATATAATATTCTTATATCTAAATTATGCTTATTTACTATTTGGGACTGCCGCATGTACGCTTTAAACCAGTATATGCTTATATCTGGTATGCTTGTATCAGGAGATCTCTGTATATTGTAGAAATTGGAATACTACAATATTTCGATGATCACTTCTAAAACTAAGCTGGTTCTAAATTTGTCGAGCGATCGACATCATGCCAGCGGAATGATAGTTAAATGTAAATAAGAGTTCCATTATATATGTGCCAGGGGTCCCTCGAATCCACATATTTGTCGTTAATAATTATATATTTAATACCCCAAGGGCGGCTGTGGGAGCTGAATAAAGCATATAAAGCTCAATCAGTCAAGTGGGGTATCAGACTGGTATTCATCATGGCAAAATTGAACTAATATGGAGGTGGCAAGAAGTCTGATATGATAAAATACTGATACAAATTCACAATTGAATTATTCTACAGCCAAACTACCCATCCGAGCGGTTACTTCTACATAGTGCTTGGTCTTTTGTGTTATCAATATTAGATTGCTTAATTACAGCTTACTTGGGAAATAGCGACGCATCCACCAAGAAACGTGCAGGTTTTAGCCCTATTCGAGAAGACTTATAGCTTGTGAAGTGGAGAAGGTCATGGCCTCAAGGAGGGAAAAGGAGTGATCCTAGATGTTATATTCATTTTGCTGTGTCGGATATATGGGTACTTGGAAAATGTTCTAATAGATCATGTGGAAAGTTTTGATATCAACAGCTCCGTTGGTCTAGTGGTATGATTCTCGCTTAGGGTAACACCCTGAGTACTCAGCTTGTCTGCGAGAGGTCCCGTGTTCGAACCACGGATGGAGCCATTGTTTTTGGGAGTATGCCTTGGATTGAATTCTGTGGTCGCTCTTTTGTTTTGGTGGCTGTCTTGACGGGATTAAGGATTAGGGGAGAGAATCGTTGTATATTTCATGTGACTGAAACCATCTTTGTGGGACTAACATTGATCGGCGAATGACTTTCGAGATGATTTCCACAGAGCCATGGATATCCGGAAAGGTCAAGGGGGATATTTGTTGAAAATAGAATAGCGGTAGATCGGTTCATTCCTAACATATGGGGAATAAGGAAGTTTCTAGGTGTCCTCCTACGGAGGGTGTTGTGCCAACCAGACTAGGTTATCTCGACAGGACGGGAAATCCATATCTGGAGATCCGGGTAGTGGCATGTCAAGTTTAGGTGGCTTCCGTAGGTGGAGTCGAAATAGCGGTGAATAATGACTTCAGGAATGGTCCTATTTAGAGAGTTAGGCTGGGGTCGGAATACTTTGTTGGTAGAGCTGACCCGAGCTGACCAGCATTAAAGGGGTTAAAGAGGAAGGGACGTGAACAGAAGACAATCAGACTGAGGGACCAGTTGCCTTTGTTGAGCCGGATTATCATTAAGGAACAAATTAAAATAGTAAAATCAATATAGGCTTATGCATAACATATAAACTGGTTTCGAAGTGTAGTTGGACTTCTGTCTAACAGACAGGCGGCGGCCACTCTTTTTGGGGGTTTAAACATATGGACTTGAGGGTAATGTTCACTTTTAATGGTGGACCTAATCTTATACAAGGGGTAAATATCAAACATAAGTGCAATAGTTGAATTTTTTGGAAAATCCGAACGACGATATTCTTGACCTAAGGTTGATAATCCGGGGCTAGGGAATCAGACTAATTAAACTGATTTAATAGCAGGTAAAATTTCACATATAGCAGGACTTTCGATTGTGTTATCCGGTTCTGGGATATGCTAACGTGCACCCTTTACCACCATGACTGATTGGCGCAATGGTAGCGCATTTGATTCCAACGTCAGGTTTCTGGTGTCATCAAAAGGTTGCGTGTTCGAGTCACGTATCGGTCATTGTTTTTGCGGTCTTGAGCTCAGTACAGAATTTTTAATATGTTTTTTGTTTAGGAATGAATGTTCGGGGATGTGGGCACAGCCCAATCTTTGATCAGTACTTGATATATGTACTACTTAGTCCAGTCTAGCAAAGATGGTCCACCGCCGACGATTTTGATTGCTACTTATAGTTTATGTTGTTCGCAAGTTCCTGCTCAACATCGAATTCTCAATAAATTCATGATTATTACTGGAACCTGGGAAAAACCTTTTCTGGTTGGCAGTCGAGGACAAGCGTCTGGGACCCTAACGGTCAAGCTGCTGGGTCAACCACAGATGATGATTAAGTTGCCTTGATTGGGTTATGATTGAGAGGAATCTCTCTTGTCTTTGTCCTTGGAACTGGTTCATGAACCACCCAGTATTGATTTGATCAAGGAGTAATGAGCTAGATATTTGGCCCCACAGACCTATGACAGCACGAGAATACTATGGATTTACGGTTGATAATAATTCAATAAATATAAAAGGATGCATATGGTGATTAATTAGAATGTTAGCTTTGAGCTACTATGGCTTTCCTATGTTATCATGATGCATCATTCAGCATAGGGTCAGTCCAGCTTCATACGAAGGAGCACCTATCTTAATTCTGGTGGGATGTACTATATACAGTCTACTGGAGCCAAACCACACTAGCTTAAAGCGCATAGTGCTATTCAGTTAAATTTTTATTACTACGAATATGGAGTTGAGCAAGAAAGGATGAAGATAAATCTTGCTGCTATATCATGTATGTGCAGTATATATCATTCCCCAGCTAGTGCATTTGTTAAAGATGTAGTTTAAAAAGTATTACTTTCTTCGGATGGATAGGTACCGAACTATGGATTCTGAGGCCCTCCCATGCTAGCCTCTGACCATTAATTGCTCTGAAATATACTGAATTATGTATAACTGTTGATCAAGAGTTCAAAAGTGATTAGGAATGCTCTGTGGATATGTTGACTCTCTTATTGATAACCTATGTAATTATATGTTAATCTACTTGGGGTGATTACTGGGCGGATCAGATATTCTTATGCCTTGCTGGGCAGAGCTCTGTGATGTGTTTGTTATAACAGCACCAGATTATCATCTATACAGTCTCCATTCTGAGTAGTCCGCGTTTTTGACGACTTGGCATAGATGAAGCGGTGGACGGGAAGGGCGACTGTCCTTCAACCGAGCAGTGGAGGAAGATTTCATTTAACTGTTGGTGTCTTGGCCAATATGTACCTATAGCTCTGGTAACCTATACTAGAGTGATTTTCGCTCATTAAGATTTGCCTCGAAGGCAATGCATCAGCTCCTTACATACACCCGCGGATTCGGGTGGTCATTTGTGACGGAGCGACTGATATGCAAACATAAAGCATTCGACAGTGCGCAGGATATGCAGGATTTGTGTATGCCTGATAACTTTGGCCAACTACAGGATGAAGACTGATTATTCGATACCACTGTTAGGAATTCGCCGATGCACTGCTCACTCCGTGTTGGGAACGGTGTAACGGCGGGATTGTGACAAGGGCTATGGACGGGCTCCAGGGAGCGCTTACTATGACGAAAGATTATGACAGGGAGAAAGGTTCAAGGAGGAACGAATAGTAGTTAGCACGGCTAAGATACAGGACGTTACGTGAAGAGAAAGACAGAGAGAAAACAGGAAATGGTCCGCCTTATATATACATACCAATGCCCGTCCATCGCCACCTAATCCTTAGCCACCCGCTGCCACCAGAGGGTTATCCCTTCGTTGCCCTACCTTGTACACTCTCGTGCATTCCTGCGGTTCCTTCTGCATGCACCCAGCCTCCCTGCACCCCTCGATCGAGCCTATGGGGTTAGGGCCGTGACAAAAGGAGAGACGATTATCATCATAACAGCCTGGCAGGCAAGGCGTTGGCCAAGCAGATATGAGCTTTGGCTCAGTTACTAGGAATGTTATATCTTTGAAATATGCTTTAGTCCCATCGGTCTCCAGCTTCGATATCTCCTTCCAGTTCCTCTCTACGACATCAGTAGAGACTTTCGCTTGCCCTCTAGCTATCATGCCAAAAAGCAGCTATATTAGTGCATTTCTGGTGACGAATAACGATTCAATTATGATGATCTCATGGAACCTGACTATCATAGAGATTCCGAGTTTCAGTATCGTGTATTTCAAAACTCCCGACTAGGGTACGTTAGAAACGGCTTCTCGCCAACGCCTACGTCGTGCAGTCTGCAGGTACAAGGAAGCGATAGATTTACTCGTCTTTCCTTGGGACAATGAGAGACGAGGAAGTTGGTACTTGCTTCTGTGGGTTGAATTTGGTTTGCCGAAGGCGCTCTGGCTTGGAACGTTAGCCTGTGATTTCATACATCAAAGGTTTACACTCACTCGAACGGAACTACGAGGGCTTCCCATAGGTGTTCAACTGGAAACTCTAGCAATGTCATAAATTCTCCTTTGATTTGGAATACAGTTAGAGGGTTCAATGATTGGCAGCGCCGGTATCCACTAAGTGGCACAGGGGTCATTATATATATTTAAGATACATGCAAATACATGTCTAAGGAGAGTAATGGTTTAGATAGACTACGAATTCAAATTCCGTGCTGCGCGGTATCTTGGCCTGAATTCCTGTTTCCCCATCTAGTTTAAATCCAAACTTCAGATTTTGCCATCACATATTACTAGTCTGGTTGGCACAACACCCTCCGTAGGCTCCAGTATCTCACAATATGAGGCCCATGGATAGGAGCATTATCCTGTATAAAATATAGTCCATTCTGTCCCCAACCCATCCAGAAATACTGGCAAATCCTCATCTAAGAACTTAATATATGACCACACAGAGACCCCTTGCTGACTCTGGATCCCTATACCTTGGTATTTAATCACCTATACCGCCAATAAGGAACACCACACACCTTTCGCATCAGATACTGTAAGCTTCATTCGCCCCGCAGCCTTCCATTTTCGAATGTTGCTTTTCTCTCAACCTCTCAATAGTGCTGATAGAGACATAGGGGGCTTTGATTTCTCGTAGAGGCTGGCGACATCCTCGACATGAGCCTAGTGTAGCTCTAATGATATGTCTATCATCTGCCTTGGCAGCAGGAAATTTCGCATGCATACATACAGCATCATGATAATGTGTATCTCGCTGAGTGGAAGTATTTATCACATAACGCCACCATAGCATTCCTCCATGCTTAGAGTTACAGGCATGTTAATTATGCAGGAATCGTAGAGGACTGCTTTTTTCTCCTTTTATTTTTCCCTTAGAAAGTAAGTTCTCATTACTCACATGCACACCCAACAGCTGAGCGTCGCCAGAATCCCAGGCTTGGTTAATGCACTAATTAACAAACAAACAGCGTCAACGCAGGACGCAGGCAGGAGAGTATATCAACGGTTTCTAGCCTGAACAGATTAATATATTCACATAAAATCCATCTATCATTTTCAAGTCAAAAACCCAAAAGGTTGATTCAAGCCATGTCTATATTTATCCAAGTAGAATACAATTTATATGTAACCACGATACTTCATATAATTGGAGTATCGTATCACAATTTTACGCAACTGTGCTTTAATATGATAGATCGATATCGATTTAAATGCTTGGGGCACATTATGTCCACGGTTGACTCATTAATCCTTGCTACAGTAAATTACTGTACGCATGTAATATATTTCATACCTACTATTGGACATCCTAACATTTTCGTGTAACGTATACAGTACATAATCATGCATTACCTGGATATTCCAGGGGGAAAGTACAAAAGCGTTTATTCTATGACTAGGAGGTGCAAGAAAACCTCTGAACGACTTAGTCATACATGTACTGGAGAATATGCCTAAAACACTCTTACGCAGGGTCTCCAGCTAACTACTCCTGGTTAGTGAGCAGGGTGATTCATTGTTTTTGTGGATAAAATAGATCCGCAGATCGGATTCGATAAATATTGCTGTTTTACTTTGGGCTTGCACACATTGTATTGCAGATTTCCAGTCATGCAAGAGAAAAAAAAGAAACCAAAAGGTGGAAGGAATCCAATAACATGTCGACTCGCTCATGTCACAAGACTGTGCATACGGCTACCTCTTGGCAGTGAGCTGTATATGTACAGACTCGGCTCCAGCTTCACCGTACCACGCCTTTTAATGTCAGTCCGCATCCCGGGGAATCCCTACCCATCGTCGTGTTCGCATCAAAATCTCCAACAGTTGTACTTCTCTGAGAGCCCATTCGATAAGTACCCAGATGGTGTATGACCCGGTGGGTCCCGCTGAACGGTGGCTTGACGACGATGGTGTACTGACATTTAATGCATCTGTTGCCCTCTCGCCCCGTATGTCTCGTCGTACAAGGCGTAACCGCAGTTACCGACGTCACAAAAGATCTGTCGCACGGAGAATTCAATATATCCTGAGGATGATACGAGAGCGAAGAGAGAATGCCTTGGTGCCGGCGACAAAGCTCTGGAGTACGTGGACGGCGGAGGCTGGCTTTACTGCGCTACTCGTTGCATATCCCGTGTTGGAGTGCATGGCGAAATACCTACACCAAAGCGATTTCAAGTCGTTGAGTTATTCCTCCAAGACTATGTATTCGATCATTCAGCAAACTTGCGGGAAGAAGTCGTGGAAGATTGTCAATAGGTTGACGTGCACTGGCTTTCACAAGGCTAAATGTCACTTCTCAAAGTGCCGTATCCCCGTATGCACAGTAAGTCCATATCCTAGTCTATAAGTACTGGTTTACGATCAATGATCCCTACTAAGCACCTCGCCTGAATATGTATATAGGATTGCGCTTACCCATTGTATCTCCGCCTAAGCCATAGCGCAGCTTATGCCTTACGGGGAAAAACGGTTTTCATGCGCTCAGGTGAAACTAGAGAGCTTCACACTCTGACTTTAACCTGCGCACCGTGTTGGTTTGAAATGTACCGTGATTGGGAGGCCAGAGGACTACTAT